TCGCCTCTCGTTTCCTCCTCGCCGTTTTCCGACTTTTTTTTTTTTGCTTGCTGTTTTTTTTTTTTTTTTTGGCAAGGTTGGGGCGGAGGAAATAAAAGGCTTCAAGGATTTGAAAAGATTATCCAGAAGCCAGCCGGCACACCTGCGACAAGGAGCTGAACCAACCGAGGAGCTGTTTTGAGCGAGCTTGGCACTTGCTCTTCCCGACGAGTTGCACTGGCTCTTTTTTAGCATTGGTTTGGAGGATGATTCTTGCTGGTTGTGAGAGCACAAATACCTCGTCCTGCTCAAAGAAGTAGTCATTAAAGTATCAATTTTAATATAAATATCTGATTTGGCATCTTTCGTTGTGGGATTCATGGCGACAACGGGAAGTACGAGCGGCGTTTTCTGTATATCAGGGATGGCGCTCCATAGACCAGTGGTTCTGTATCATTATGGTTCGTAAACCGCCAGAGGTGACGGAGGACCCCATCCGTAGTGGGTCTAGCACTTTTCGGCGTGGAGCGTTTTGCTGTAGGGCATTTCGGTGCGGACGTTTTGGTGCACAGACGTTTCAGTGTACGGACTTTTTGCTGCGAAGACATTTTGGTGTGGGACTTTTCGGTGCGCGGATATTTCGGTGCACGGACATTTTGATGCATGGACATTCGACGCTATGGTTTGCTCGCCGGTATCTCTTTTCCAACGTACGCAGACACGCTTCACATCGTGTTTTCGCGTTGAGTAGATAGAGATAGTCTCCTCTATAAGGTTTTGGCTTTATAATTGGTCATATGTGTAGGAAAGGACCCAGACAGCAAGACGTTTGAGCCTGTTTGTGTATTCAGAACAATTTTGAATATCTTCAAATGCGCCGCCTCCGCGTAATCGCACAGCTTCGATTGTTAATAATAAATTGTGATGACCTCGCACGACAAAAAAACAATGTAATTATCACTTGTGACTCATTAGGGAATAAAGGAGGCGTGTGCGGGTACAAGATAAGTGTAATAAAATCAAATATCGATTTGAATCAAGTAAAACAAGTCGAATTTGGTGAATGCTAAATCTATTTTATTTTGTATCAAATGTTTGCTCATTCTCGTACGAAAAAAAAAAAAAAGTGACCACAGATCATACACAGCTTATGATCTGTGGTCAACGTCTCCTTCCATGCCGTGATGATGTCGCCGGACGTAAAGAACTGCCTTACAATCGCGCTTATACAGAGCGATTTTTTTTTTTTTTTTTACGAGTAGACATATTTTTGCAAAAGACGTTCGAGTTACGCAATTTCGGTTTGTGCCTTATCTGTAGTCATCAAAAACACCAAATCATTCATTTTTAAAGAGATGTAGTGGACGTGAAGTGGTTCACGGCGTCCTAAAATGCCGAATTTGGACGCGAATCGTGTTACCGCAATCTTTTCGGCCGCCGCACTCCTCGCCCCTTCTACAGTGGCGTTGTCACAGCGATGCGCATGATTTGTCGTTTTGGCTTCATGGCGTTAGGCTGTGCCACACGGAGATGGAGCCCACATAAAATCAGAACTATATTTTCGCGCCCAAATTAGGAGGACGCCGTATCAAGACGCCGTATAATAGTGTACGCGCGTTACATCTTTTAAAGAATGGACGGTTTGGTGGCTCGCGATTACGACCAACAACTTTCTAAATACACGATGTCGTTTTTCTTTTCTAACTAAAAGGTTAATTAGCGAATTTTAGGCAATCGGTCGGTTTTAGTTGCGTTCTTTCATGAGCCTAATCCTCGCCTGACCGTATAGCTCACCTACACAAATCGCAATGGCGCTAATTTTCACTGGACAATTTGGTGGCTTTCGATTATGCCCAACAACTTTATTTATTTATTTATTTGTACATACTGCTGGCCCGTGGGGCCGTGGCAGGGAGGAACAAACACACACGCACACACAGAAAAGAATATGATTCATACCTCCAACAGAGCTACGAAGAATAAAGTGGTTACAAGATTAAATACAAAACGCACCGAGAGCGCAAAATAGAAAACAAGAGCACTAAATGCACGTAAAAAGTGATAATAAAGTTAACAATGACAATATACTGACAAAAATTATCCCGTTTTCTTTTATATTCAAAAAGTTCATTAACAAATTTTAGGTAAGCAGTCGGTTTTGTTGCGTTCTTTCTTGAACCCAATCTTCACCTGGCCGTAGAGCTCACATCCACAAAACGTTAATTTGCACGTTTGTTTCTAATATCTAGTAGGTGAAAAAAAAAAAAAAGAGACAAAACCAACGCTGTATATAAAACAAAGGGCAGTTCTTTACTGATATAAATAAAGCGTGAAACACGCGGCTTTGCATGCATCTCTTTTTTTTCTTTTTTCCCGGCCTATAAAAACAAATCCCGGGACATTCGAAATTGAGTTTATGATGGGACGGGCGCTTTATCACAAGGTATTTTGTCATGTTTCATAAGCTTTGTTACAGGTCAGAAGGAAGCCACGCGAGTTACATTTGTTGGCAAAAACTAAATGCACGTTTGGCCACGAAGAATTTTTTTTCAAAGGCTGAAAATAGATGAAATATACCATAAACCGTTTCGCTTTTTATGGAAGTTTGTTTTTACTCTTCTTAGTAGCTTCAACGAGGCGGCCGTCACTGTAGAAAACACCTGTAGTGCGAATTAACCTATATATTATGCCCCAGAAATGGTCAGACTGTGTCCCTCCGACTGCAATATCTTTGACTTGTAATTACTCATGATTATTACTTTGTACAAAAAACAGAAAAACAAAAACACAATAGTGATACAATCACTCTTCAGTGTGCCGTTGTTAGAACGAGAAATTTTTGAAATCTCTGGGTAGAGCTCAAAGTTCAGATAAAAATACCCATCTTTTTTTCCTTCTGCTGTGATGTTCAAGTTCCGTTCACTCGAGATAAATATACCACCATATACGGTGTTGTAGGGTATGTGGCCGCACGCGGAAGTATCTGAATGTAAAAGAACTTGTTGTTGGGCTAGTTGGTGTTGACTATCTGAGTGTGTTTTAGAGCTGCAAAAAAAGAGAGTAAAAAAAAAGGAAAAAAAAAAAGGAGAAAAGCGAGCCAGCCCGAACCCTTCCGAGCTCATGTCCAGGCTGCCTAACTAATCCCTGATGTTTGGGATTGAAGCAGAGAACCTTGAAGGGCTACAGAGATTTTGTCGGGGGGCCGGTAAGCCCATTAGCACTCGTGCGAGAAGGCCGTAAAAAAGCGAGGAAGAAAATTGAGAAGGAAAGGGGAGGAGGAAAAAAAGAAAAGAGGGGGAATTTCTGCCACGCTGAAGAAAATTTTGAGCGCCCGCCTTTAACACACTCCCCAAACTCCCGCTCTCCAAACATAGGCGTCTCGATCAACACCACATAAACAAAATATTTGTAACTATACTTCAATCGGGATTTAGTACAGCACGCGAAAGGGAGCAAAGGGAATCGTACCTAATTAAAAAATTTAACACGCTTCGCGCAGGGATTAACGAGAGCGCCGGCCTGCTTAGCTGCTTACATCTAGAACGGTTCACCTCATCGGAACCCCCCCGTTGACGGGAAAACGAACAGACGGAGTCCCCTGCCTAGAGTTTTCCCTGCGCTGGACATCATTACGACCTCGAGGAATGTCTTCGCTCTAGGGTGCGAGATGGGGAGGGGGCGTTGAGAAAAAGAAAAATAGGGAAAATGGAAAAGGAAAAGAGGGGGGGGGGGGGCATGCTTGCACGTGAGTGTGTGTGGGGGGGGGGGGGGGGGGGGCGTGGAGAGGGGTGTTTGGGTGTGTAACTTGAACCATCACGCGTCTCGGTTCGCGCCCGAGCTGCTCCTGTGTCTCTGCTGGCTCTTCTCGGCCACCCGGGCGCGCTTTTGGGCCCACTTGATTTTGTTTTATTCCCTTGTTTCGTTCTGGACACTGCCGAGCCCCAACGGCGCCTAGCGGGAGGTTGTTTGGGGGTGCATGCGGGGCCTCTTCCCTGGCCGCGGCCTTCGTCTACCCATGGTTGGTCCTAAGAAGTTGTTTTTCGCCTTTCCTCATTTTTTTTTTTTTTTTTTTTTTTTTTTTGCCGCCGTGTCAAAGTGGCGGGCTTTCAGCTGTCACTGCAACATTAGGACCTGATGAAGAGCGGTCCCCGCTCGGAACGTCGTCCAATAAATACGTTTTAAAGCATTTACCTCCTTTTTACTATATATATATATATATATATATACTCGCAACCTTCGCCAATCCGGGATTCGATGTCCGCTCCTGGCCCAAGTTTTCGCCAGCTTTTTCCCTTCCCCTAACATCAATGCAATAAAATTCAATAATCACTCTCTTCTCTCATCGTTCACAATATATATATATATATATTTTTTTTTCTTCCATAATTTTATCACTGGTCGTACTTGTATTTATTAGGCATAGGACCTCAAGCTGTGTGACCAACTGAAAATCTAGAAAACAATTTTCCAAAACTGCTGACATGAATAGGGTGACCAGGCGTCACGTTTTGGCCGCGGCAGTCTAGTTTTTTTTTTTTTTTTTTTTGGGGGGGGGTTAATTTCTGCCATCCCGTCATTTTTCCACAATGAAATCTCCTGTCTTGCTTTCGTGGGAACGTGCATTGTTGCTGTTACCGACATAGTTTTATTAAAATGAACACAGCATGAAAATTTTACCTTTTATGAAGCAGCTTTGTAGCCTTCCTGTGGTTGCATATGTCAATATGTTTTGATTGCATAGGATAATTTTCCAGTATTAATAAATGCTTGCTTTGGTTAGCCAGATTTCTGTCCCATTGTTTAAAAGTGGGAAAGAATGGCACTGGTGTTCCAGACGAAGAACTCAAAATGTGCGTTTTTACGTTGAGCCGAATGGTACAGCAGTGCTTTACCCCTGCCTCGCTTTCCCGTTTTTTTACTTTGATGAATATGGTCATCATAGCCATGAATGAACTCATCAACATTGAGACTTCATTGCTTGCATAAGAAGGCTATTGTTGCGCAAGTATAAGTGAACTCACCAGCTGTGTCACCTGTGAGCTGAGGAATTTTCCGACAGACCCGAAGGCCTGTCGCACGGATAAAGGCCCGTTCACACACGTCGGTTGCATGCAGCTGCGTCCACAGCGACCGCTGCAACCGGTACGACTTTTGCAACCAGTGCGTGCTGCGTGTACACACACATGGAACCGACTCATGCCGCTCGCCGTGAACAGCCAATAGAAAACCTGCCACAGCTTTTGCCCTCAGCCAATAGCAATAAACCAAGTCTTCCTTGCTAAAATGGCGGACGGTGGCATGGACGCGCGCTCGTCGGGTACCTCACCGCCGTCGGCTCTTCCGCTGCACGAGCTTCTGCTTTGCGTGTTTTTGGAGTACGTGCGCAGGTGCATTGCCCGCGCGGGCAGGGGGACAAATTGGGCTTTGGTGGCGCGGTCGACGGCTGCAGCGCAACTGCTGCTCAGCCAAACAACGCGTCCTCCTCGGGAATGGGTTCGGTTCCTGTTGCGATCGCGGGAGACCTTCGGTGAGTTTCACCATCTGGTCCGTGACCTGCGTCTCGACGACGGACGCGATTTCTTCGCATACTTCCGGATGACACGCCAGAGGTACGTACATACCTCAGTTTTTACCCGATTACCTCTCTGCGGCGTCGCGGCTGTCCTCAGCCGTAATAAATATTTTATTGTTATAGTATTATTATTGAGCGATAAGCAATGTCTTCAAAGACCCGTCGATTACCAAACTCGAGATTGCCGCCGGAATGGACCATTTTCGGTATTCCTGGTTTCAGCGCTTCGACATGAAAATATGTTCGCGATCTACGAACTCGCGAGCGATCATGGCAGGTTTTTAAAGAAGCGGCCCATGTCGGCGCTCGTGTTGTGCACAGACGTGCATCACCAAGACCTCTAGAACCGGCAACTTCCGAAATATGTTAATTTAAATCAATATTAGTTCTGCGGAGCCGTGTTCCGAATTAACAATGTGACCTTGTAGATTTGGAGAACACAGTTGTGATGACTTAATTTGCTAGCATCCAACCAGTGATTTCATCGTAAAGTAGGACGTAAAGATGCAAATATTAGCATAATTAACGAGGTTGACTGTAAAATGAGCTGGCAAAATCGGCGCATATGCTCTTGGAGGTTTTGCTTTAACGTAAAAATTGAAAGGCGTAGGTGTTGATTTTGTAAACTGTATCATCTGCAGATTTGACCACCTGCTCTCCCTGGTTGGGCCTCTTCTACAGAAGCAGCTGACCTCTTGGCGAAAGCCGATTCCCCCGGCTGAAAGGTTGTCGTTGACAATCCGGTAATTTGAGTGATTTTATGACTACTATGAACGCAACATTAAACTTCACCTTTGAGAGCTTCCTTGATTAACAAAAAAAAAATAGCTAATACTCTTGCATTCCTTCAGCCACTGTCAGTTCATTTGTGTGAACATACTTACTAAAAGAAGTGTCCTATTAGTTCAACATAGTACATACCATAGAATACCGTGCATCTGCCCATTCCACATTCTCTCGCAATTATTTCTATATTTTAAGTGGGTGCTTGCCCGGTATTTTACGGTACTTTTCTGCTTCACTCACAGCCAAAAATCAGACATTTTTTTAGTCATCTCTTTTCGTCGGTAGAGATCTTGTAATGAAAATAAGGTATTTGAACGAGCTCTGCCACAGGGTGGTAGTGTCTTGGCGCCATGTTCGTGGTCGCCAGGCAGCTCGGTGGACGTGCATTGTTGTGTTGAACTGGCCGGATATTGAGTCAATCAGTGCCACCAAACTCAGATTATTAATTTATTAACCAGCGTATGTCTGTACGGGAATTATGCTTTTCTGGCCATTCATTTTATTTTGTGTCTCAATATGGGAACGCACATTGCGAGCCAGAATATTCAACTGCGTCGTGTTTGAATCCAACAAACGCACAAAATGGATGCCCGTTGATCAAAATGTTGCTTAAGTTAGGTATTTCTTGATACTGAAAGTTATCATAATACAATGCAATACAACCGAAGCGAAGACGAATGGAGTGGTTTCGCCGGGTGAACCGCAAAGATGTGAACGGCTCAAGAAATCATTATAATGTGTGTGGAAAACACTTCATTTCACATCATGCTTTGCTATGCTTTGAGGACGACTGATCTGCATAAGAAATGAAGCAAATCAGCTGTAGAATCCATGCCATCAGTAGTCAAATATTTACCTGCATTGCAATGATGACAGTGTCTGAATGAACTCGCTTTCCTTGTGGCTCACCTAACCAGCCGCGGATAATACAATTGTGGCCGTTGAAGGACTGCTACAACTTAAGCTTTTTTCAAGTCACAAAACTTGTCCGCAAAACAAGATAATTGAGAATGCCGCACGTGTAGGTACGCTGCCAGGTGTCGACGTTCACAACACATTCTTGTACATGCGGTATAAATGTACCAATGTCATCTCCCTGTGAACATGATGCTGGCTAGTCAAGTTTTGTTTGTTTGAAATTTTGTGAATGGGTTTTGCTGTCATCACACCAGTGGGAAAACGCACCATTGCACAAAAACGTCACGAGGAGGCACTTGTATGACATTGCCCGAATAAAAACGCTGGTGTTGCAGATTTCACGCATACCGGCAATCAATAAAAGTTAGCAGATGAGGCGAGTGCCTTGAGTTTTTTGACATTGTGTGAATATCTCCCATATGATATTCTTAGTGCATCAAGACCAATGCCCTGACAGGACCAGGCAGGAAATAAGGACTATTGAAACTAGTAATGTTGCAAACTTTATGGGTTTGCAACATCGCTATATTTTCCGACCTTTAAATTGGGAGGTAGGTACCCAGACTTTTCAGAATTGAAAGTGCAAAATCATAAAATGGAGGTTCAAGAAACTGCAGTCACGGTCCAGGTGTGGAACCCAAACAGTCATGCTAACAAATACATTTGTATGGACATATTTACAGACAAGTACCGAGAGCCTCGACACCATGATTTCTGAAGAACCTACTATGTCACCCAAAGTTTTTAGAGGTTTATGGCTTGGAGGACCTTGACCTTCATTGAATTTGATTTATGAGCTCAGTCAACTCTACAAGTTTGAAAGAGTGAAATACTGAAACCCAATTGTTTCTTCATTAAAACCACCCTCTATTAAACTTCTTTTAGATACCTTGCTCATGGGTCCTCGCAGCTCATATGCTCGATGGGCTACCGAATCGGCCGGTCGACAACATCTGTAATTATCAGGGAGACGTGCCTGGCTCTCCACAAGGTGTTGGACCCACTATACCGCCCTGTGAGTATGGTGGCAATAATTCTGCCGACACCACTATGTCTTACGACAAATTGTTTAATTTTAACGAGTTTATGTACATTTCAGTGACCAGACCTTATGACATTTTATATCATTTCGGTGATGTTTGCTTAAGCCTTTTCCCAGTATGCTAACCTAGCTTGACGAACACCAGGTGGTTCCAATGAAGCTCGGTGCAAGCCTGACATTATATTTCTATTCCCCGAGCATACCGAAGCAAAGTAAGGGGTGCCCACATGCAGCACCCTTCGTTTGGAAGCCCGGCTTCTACCGTGGGTGGTCCTAGCTGCGAATGTTGCCATGTCCCACGGCCACCAGAATCTGATTGTGGGCCCAAGTATGGCAACGAGTGAAGCGAGGCTACCTGGGAAGCAAATTATCATGTCAACAAAACGTCGCAGGACCCATGCGGCCCGCAAAGAGAGTATCTACGAAATGTTGCAGTGTCTACGAAATGTATTCAATGCAATAGGATAAGCTGGCGGGCTGTATTAAATGTCAGTTGTCAGTTAGCACCCTTCCTGTCTACCTCGTCCTTCCTTCCTTGTTGTTTTGCACTGCAAAGTGCAAAACAACAAGTTGCTTACGAAATATCGCAGTGCGTTCATTCTTTTTAGCTGCACCGATTCAGAAAAGTGCAGGGCGGTGAACATCCGGTATGTGTATTGACATAGGACCGCAAGTACACCATTATACACTTCTCCGCACCGGTGCAGCTAAAAAAATCCACCCAGTTTCGACGAAACGTGTTCAAGAAATAGGAGGCGATGCGAAGGTGTTCACGAAACGTAAAACTGTCGAGGAAATGTGCTTATGAAATGCGAGTCGACGCAAAGTTGTCCACGGAAGCAGTTTTGATGCAACGATACAAACCCCTCCGAGTATGCATTTTCTTCTCACTGCTATTTTCTATTCTGCATAGACAACGCATCTACACCAGATAAATTATAAAGCCTCTTTTGTCTGGACAACAAACAAGATATGCATGTATAAACGCTTTTTTTACAGTTCCTAAATTTATTTTTCGTTAAGCACTGCCCTTTCCATTCTCTGACACGTGTACTCTTTCTTTTTTGCTCCTGCAAGAATCGAAAACAAGGCTTTAGAAGTTGCAGGTCTAATTAGTGTTGTGGGGTATGTTGGAACTTAAATGAGATTAGCTAAGAGTACTTGATCAACTGCTCTGCAGGCCCCCAACACTGCCCAGTGGGAGCGGCTTGCAGGGGAGTTCGAAAGGCTGTGGAATTTCCCGAACTGTGTCGGAGCCTTGGACGGCAAGCATGTGGCCATCCAAGCTCCACCTGGTGCAGGCTCCGACACTTTCAACTACAAGGGGTTCCACAGCATCGTCTTACTTGCAGGCTGCGACGCCACCTACAAGTTTAAGCTGGTAGACGTTGGGCAACCAGGGCGGTATAGTGATGGAGGCATCTTCAGAAACTCTGAAATGGGGCAGTCCATACTGTCTGGAGGACTTGGTCTCCCGCCGGCTGGACGTATGCCCCGGACATCAACCAAACTGCCTTTCGTCTTTGTAGCAGATGAGGCCTTCCCCCTGCTCACTAACCTGATGCGCCCTTACCCTCGGAAAGATCTGAAGTTGAAGCCAAGGGTGTTCAACTACAGACTTTCCAGGTCGAGGAGGGTCATTGAAAATGCTTTCGGCATCCTAGTTGCACGTTGGCGCATCTTCAGACAACCAATCCAGGGGTCTGAGGAGACCCTGGATGCCATTGTCTGGGCATGCGTCAACCTGCACAACTACTTAAGGGTGTGC